GAGATTTACGGTCTAAAAAGACATGATACACAAGAAAAGGCGATGGAAGTGAAAGAGATTAGGTCCAGTGGATGTTGCTGTTGTTCTGTCCCTTTGAGGCCATAGCAGTGGTAATTGGGACGGAGGAGGGCTTTTCATCAATTGCTGGGCCTAGGTAAGATAGAGCTGTCCATGCCTGTTCTTCTTTCTTTGTGGAGTACACAACAGTTAACAATGGGATGGAGGAAGGGTTTTTCCTCAGCTGCTGGCTCTAGGCATGGTGAAGTTGTAGCTGCCTGTGTGAATTGCCAGCATGCCCTGCGAATAAGACATCCTGCAGATAATGAACGATTTAATTTAAAAGCTCAGCCTTAGTCATAAAACATTCAAATGCAAACAGGACATTGAGTACCCTACACAGATACCTAATAACTGAAAATCCAAAAGATGAACATGAAGTAAACAATTGCACATTTTGCTAACCCAGTTCCAACTTTACATCCATCACCTTACTCACAGTCAGGTCAAATTATGTGTGTTTAACTGTGCAGAGCTCACTGAGTAGGGATTGTTCACTGAGATTCCTCTACAGTAGAACGGGTGGTGTATAAAGCTTGAGTTCACCTACTATCCCAGCAGTCATGCTCTTAGATTGGAAATGAAATCTGAAAGGGTACCTTATTCCTTCCTGCACTCCTTTCCTTCTCTATCATCTTCCTGACAATATTCTCCATCCCCTGAACAGAATTTGACATATTAAAAGGGTTCTGAATGCTGGTATACAGAGTCCAGTAATAAAACTGAAATCCATATTTTAAAAAATCCCAGGATCTCTAGGGTATCAGTGTGATAAAACTAAACAATTCAGGTAGAGAAATTGGACTTGGGCCCTTTTCAGCAGATTCACTGAAAGTTCTTCCCTTGTTGTTGTTGCCATGTTGTTCCCCACCAAATCTTTTGCCTATCCTTTGCATATGTAGTGTAGTGATACTTTCCTCAACAGATTGAATACTGGTGCCTATCTTTCCATGGGTATCAATAACATGTACCTAGGGAACTAACTTCTCAGCAAAGCAGGCAAGATTGAATTGCCTGTCCTACCTGAGTGCAATGAGCAGCACTAACTTGAAACAAAACAAGGGCCTACTATTAGTCTTGTCTCCCTAACTCAGTGGTTCCCAACCTTTGGTCCTACAGGTATTTTGAACTTCAGCTCCCACAATTCCTCACAATCTAGCTGGGATTTCTGGGAGTTGAAGTCCAAAACAACTGGAGGACCAAAAGCTGGAAATCACTGCTGTAACGACCTTACAGGAGTCATAATTTGCATCCAAAGCTGCAGTTGAATCTGATCCCAGCAAAGAGCTGGGTTCGTATGCATGCAAAAAGGCAGTATCATGCTTCAACTGTGCTGGCTCAGCTGAATCAACATTTCTCCTATGGATTATGTCAAGACACCAGGTATGTCAAAAAGCATGTCAAGGTAGAGTTTTACTAGCCACAGCTTTAACAATAAGGTAACCAGGCAACCAGGTAGACTACATCTTCTCAATTTTCCACTTCCTTAACTTCCTTTTATCTTTTTTATCCTCTTATCCTTCTCCAGCTCCTAACATATAAAGAGAACACATCAATTATTTACAACACCATATTGCATCTAGTGGCTGAGAGAAAATGGGCACCTAAAGAGTTTGCTCAAGGAATCTTCCTATAGACAGGATATGCCCAAGAAGTTCCTGCTTGAATCCCCATAACATTCATCTTTAGTGAATCACCCTGTCCCAAAACTAGTTCTCATTCAGGATATCATTTCCAATTGGTACATTTGACCCAGATGTATAAGATGATGCAAATGCCTAGTAAGGTGATAGACTAGCGGTGGCTGATTTCAGGGTCAACATGATCATGGCTGTGAGTGAAGTTGTGGATGTACCACAAGCTATCGTAAGTCTTTAAACAGATGGATATTAGAGGAATTTTCTAGTTTGTTTGCATCAGGACTTCAGATGATACAGCAGTTTGCCCTTTGTTCACATCTGATTCAACAGATCCAACTGAAACATAATTTCAGCAGTAACGTGAACAGTATTAAGTATATTACAGTGCTGCCTTTTTGCACCTTATGAGGGGACTGACCTGGTGTCACCCTCTGTTCTGCTGCCTGCAGTCTTGCCAGAAAAAAATTCTAGATCCCAATTTATATTTGAGGAGCATACCAGTGCATATACTAAACATTTATGGCAGACTTGCTTAGTGGACGAATTGCCATTTGACTGTTCTTGCCTATGCACCCAAATATTTGAGTGAAAACTGTTTGCTGATTGAAATATTTCTCAAAGATCTTAACAATGTGTACACACACATTGTTAATATCTTTGAGAAATATTAGACACACACATTCACATGCAAATGTATACTCAAAATATAGTCCAATCATAGGGTTATCTACACTGTAAAATGCATGCAGTTTGCCATAACTTTAAAGTATGATTCCTATGGAGTCATGGGACTTGTAGTTTTATAAGATATTATCATTTTTCTTCCAAAGACTGCAGATGCCTCATCAAACCAGAATTCCCAGGGTTCCATAGTATTGAGCTTTAGTAGTTAAAGTGTTGTCAAACAGCATTAATTCTATAGTGTACATGCAACCAAGATTGCCTGTCTAAGAAAGCTATGTTATAGCTGCTACTATTATAAATATTATAAATGTTATAATTAGAACTAACAGTTGTGTGTAGTGATTGTACTTTATTATAGTATTTACTCCCACCTAGCTGACCAAAAAGTGGTGGCTGTAATGTTGGGAGATAGATAGTAGAATAACCCCTTCGCATTTATATAGGAAGGCTGATTCCCCACACCACCACCCAGTGTGCAGGCCTATAAACCTCTCAAGCTTCAGACAGAATGGTGATTGTAAATAATAAATGGTGGCTGAGATACTGAAATGGTGGGGATGCAACCAACAGCACTGCAGTAGCTTGTACTACACTGCCTAAGTATGCCCAATCGGAACGTGCAAATTACATTTGCTCGTACAAGGATTGCTACAGTTGCTATCTCCATTGCCACTGCTGAAATAGAGATTTAAGAAGACTGCTGATAGTAGTACCAAGCTGTGAATCTGGGTAGGAGGCAGACTGCATTGGATAATACAGAATTTTGGATGACTGAAGCTTGGATAAGTGAGAGTCTACTGTACATGCACTTGTTTCTTTCTCTTCCAAGATCAAAATAGGGATATGAAGTAGTGGTGAAATTATGAATGTTGTTTTCCTCTGCATACTGTTAGAGGTGTAGTACTCTGGCACAAACTTAGCACTAGGTGAGAATCAGTGGAGTTAATATAAATGTCCCTTTTGCAATAAGTGCACAGTAAACATTTTTTGAGAGCCCCCGGTGGCGCAGTGGGTTAAAGCACTGAGCTGCTGAGCTTGCTGATCGAAAGGTCGCTGGTTTGATTCCGGGGAGCGGCGTGAGCTTCCGCTGTCAGCCCTAGCTTCTGCCAACCTAGCGGTTCGAAAACATGCAAATGTGAGTAGATCAATAGGTAGCGCTCCAGCGGGAAGGTAACGGCACTCCATGCAGTCATGCCGGCCACATGACCTTGGAGGTGTCTACGGACAACGCTGGCTCTTCGGCTTAGAAATGGAGATGAGCACCACACCCCAGAGTCAGACATGACTGGACTTAATGTCAGGGGACTACCTTTACCTTTAAACATTTTTAAAAAACCTGTTTTGATCTCTGTGTAATGTAATGACACATTTTTACGAGTGTTTTTACAGAAACAATAATCACTCAAAATACCTAGGTTGGTGTATGCTGTGATAGGATAATTATCACATGACAAACCACAGGGACTCTTCGTTTACATAAACAAGTGACTTGTGCTCAGCTGCTATCTTACGTTAAATGTATTTTCTTGTGTTTTTTTCTGTACTTGAATATGGCAAATGGGTCTAGGTATTTAAATCTCGAGCTGGGGGTATGTGAAGTAAAGACAAATTCTTTAAAACTTCCCTATAACCATAGCTAATATTACTATTACTAAAATAGTATCTTTAGTTTTATCTTTCATCTTGGTCCCAGAGTGATTTGCCTTTGGAAAGAAAAGAAAATAACTAGGTCATTCCCATTGCCTCTGGCTAATCTAGACATATACAACACAAAGCTGCCTTGTGTTTTAATACAAAACAAAATCAGCTCTGTCTCTCTCCCTATTCTCCTCACTGATAGCTCGTGGTACAAAGGGTGCAATATGATAATTGTATTTTTAGGTTTTTCCACTTCCCGTGGATAGCAACCAGTGAAGGGGAACAAGGAAATCTGTAATGCACTTGCACCATTCACTGAATTTCGTATTCCTAGATGCTGTGGGAGACAAAGCAAAGAGGGAGTGTTGGATCTTGTAAAAGCCATACATGTTATATTCTGGTTTGGCTGTGCAACCTCCATTTATCTAACTTCTAAGCTTCTCCAACTGTGGTGTTGATCTGCCTGGAAGTTGATCAGTGTGTTGTCGAAGGCTTTCATGAGCTGGGTTGCTGTGAGTTTTCCGGACTGTATGGCCATGTTCCAGAAGCATTCAGGAGAGAATGGCCATATAGCCCGGAAAACTCACAGCAACCCAAGTTGATCTCTCCTCCCACAAAGTCTTAATATCTGTTGATTCGCTTTCCCAAGGTGATTACAAGAAAAACCAAACATACCTCAAAAGAAGCCAAGATATAAACAGTAATTATGCCCACACACTCTGTGCTGCTTCTTCCTTTCTCCTCTGCATTCTGCCATTGAAAACTGCCTGGATTTTTTAGCTATAATTTCATGCTATGTGTGCCCTGTTACTGCTGAATAATTTACATGTTTCCAGTTTAGGCTCCTGTGGTTAGTCAGCAAAGGAAAATGTGTTTAATAGGATGAAAGGTCTGTTATCTAAGCAGGCCATTATGTCAGTTTTTAAATATTTGAATTAGTCCTGCTCTGTCTACATCTTAATGTGCTTGCTTACTTTTTAGTACCCATTGTAAAACAGACCTGGGAAGGAGAGGCCACTCTTATTGAATATTACAGTGATTTTGCAGAGAGTTCAATACCCACTGTTGATTTAGGAGTGCCAAACACTGAAAGAGGTGAGTATGTAATTAATACAATATAATGTGTGGTGTATTAAATACAGCTAATATTATCCTTGATTAGTATACTGCCTTTTTGTAATGTCTGCTGGTATGATCTCTAATGTGAGACAGGCTTTTGCTGAGGAGCCAGACTAAATGCACCAAGCAGCTACTAGACACAGCAGGAGTAGTGGGGAGTGACACTGGTGGAGGATCTCTCAGAGACAATGGCAGTGGCATCATTGCTAATGGTTGTTAGTACTGCTCAGAAGGAGGCACATTAAATCCCCTTTGAATATATTTTACCATGAAACCCTATGATGTCACAGTCCAAAATGAAACAAGAACTAGTGACAAAAGATGAGAGCCAGGTTGGAAAGAACTCAAAAAAACTACTGATGTATACTAGAAGACAACTACAAGTAGTAGTGTAGCTAACAACACAACTGAGGAGAAAAGAAAGTCCAGTGCTTCAAAAGCGATGTACTAAGAATATGGAAAATGAGACTTAAAAATCAAAAGAAGCTAGACATCATGAAACAAGAAATGAAATACATAAACATTGGAGTACTTGGGGTGAGCAAGATAAATTGTACAAGAATGGGACATTTTGAGTCCCATGCTTCCTGAATCACTCTTCATGTTTAGGTCATTTTCAAACTCATTTCTTTAGTACAAGGATGAGGAAGGTCTACCTGGCTGAGGAATGTATGCACTTTTGGAGATGTTCTCAGGGATGCATTCTAACTGGTAACCCAAAACTGAAATTGTATGTCTGCTTCTAGTTTCCTTTCTTTGCATGCATTTTTAATTGCAATGCTGCCCACAATAGTTTATTTCGGTACAAAATTCCCCACCCCCATTTTAACGTGGTTTAATGTTGAAATGCTTTATTTTAACATGGTTTTATTGTATGCCAGCTTGGGTAGAACTTTGATCAGAAATCTGGTTCTAACTAAAAAGTTAAATAAAAATGGTACCAGCCCCATAAAATAGCCCATGATACGATACATAATGAGAAGACAGGAAAGCTTGGAGAAGATAATGGTGATGGGGAAAATGGAAGGAAAAAAGAAGAGGGGCCGACCAAGGGAAAGATGGATGGATGTTATCCTTGAAGTGGCTGTCTTGACCTTGAAGGAGCTGGGGGAGGCTACAACCGACAGGGAGCTCTGGCATGGGCTTGTCCATAAGGTCACGAAGAGTCAGAAGTGACTGAACAAATAAACAACAACAAACAATGCATAAATTAAGAAAACTAATCCTTCAAATGTTCCTTTATCCAGCTTAGATCTATTCTACTAATATAAATATTCTGTCTCCACCAGTCTCATAATTAAGTGGCTGACTTGACCTTGAAATAGCTGGGGGTTGCGAAGGCTGACAGTGAGCTCTGGCGTGGGCTGGTTCATGAAGTCACGAAAAGCCGGAAGTGACTGAACAAATAAAGAACAACAAACAATATATAATTTTAGAAAACTAATTCTAATGTTCCTTTTTCCAGTTCAGACCTATTCTACTAATATACATATTCTGTCTCCACAGTCTCATGGTTATAGGATATGTCAGATTATGATAGATTTTTATATCCCTAACAAAGAACCTCAGCCAATTCAACCTGAGGTTATTGGTGCATTAAGCACTAGATATATATCCTGGAATAATAGCCACCGATGTCTATCATATATTCAAACTCAGTATTTTTATAGTAAAGTTTTTTTAAAAAAAATTTATGCATTATATTCATTAGCTTTGAACTGATAACATTTACTTTCCTAGGATACGTGAAATCATTGAATTAAAATTCCCTTATCCTGTGTTTGTCTATTTTATATGTTTTATTACATAATCTGTTTTGTAAAATGAGCAAATCCTATTTTCCTTTTGCAATGGATTTTTTGTTCTAGAGAAAAATATGTCCCAATATCATTTTGAAAACTATCTCTCTTGAGTTATGAATATTGGGTTTGATATAGATTTAATAATACATTGAAAATACCCATTTAAATTATAGGATGTAAATTAGTCATGAGTTTCAGTGGAAGTACTCTATAACTAAGTCTGAATCCAGCTCATTGGATTCTTTATAAAACCCTAAACAGCCCTGGCCCAGTCTACCTGTCCGAACCCATCTCCCTCTATGAACCTCCTCTATGAAGATTAAGGTCTTCCAGGGAGGCCCTGCTCTTGGTCCCGCAACAATCACAGGCGTGATTGGTGGGAGAGAGAGATTAGAGAGAGAGAGGGCCTTCTCAGTGATTGCCTTTTGACTGTGGAACTCCCTCCCTAGCAAGGAGGTCAGTCCCCTCCCTCCTGTCCTTCAGAAAGAAGGTAAAAACTTGGCTGTGGGACCAAGCCTTTGGGACAGTGCAATAAAGCAACAATAGGAAACTACCCTGCTGACCATATCCAATATTGCTGATCTGAGATTGTTTTAAACAATTGATTTTAAAGTGGAGTTAACTGTTCTTAGTGCTTGTGTATATTTATAGTTTATTTTATGCTCCGGCACTGAATGTTTGCCGTATATATTTTGTGCTCCGCCCTGAGTCCCCTTCGGGGTGAGAAGGGCAGAATCTAAATGCAATAAATAAATAAATACTTTTTTTTAGAAAGCATGCACTGTAATTGACTCCCCAGGTTTGAAATGTTGTGTCTTGATAGGATCTCTTCCCAGAAGAAATATTATAAAATTATATCATTGCTCTTTTTAAAACAATATGTTGTAGATTGCCTTGCGGCAGGTGAGAGAGCCAGCTTGACCCAGAGGATGTCCTCTCTGGGTGCTCTCTTAATCAGTGAGAGCCCTAGAAAATCAGGATTCAGATTTATAGAATCATCTAGTTGGAAGAGAACACAAAACTGCACGCAAAAATATGTAGATGTCTTTCAGCCACAAAGGTTGGGATCCTTGCTCACTTTTCACATGAGAAAAACAAAGATAGAAAGAGACAGAGTTAGTACAGTCCCCATCTCATGTAAAATAAGTTTTCATATATATACAGTAGAATCCCTGAATAGGACTAGGTTTTTTTGCTTCTCTTTCTGTGTCTTTTTTGTTTTGTTTTGTTTAGTTTTTCACCTTAAGTTTAATAATTCAAATCAGTTGTTGCTCCTATTTTGACATTAAATAAAATGGTAGATTTGGGGTATTTAAGCAGCTTTTGTTGTTATTCTCATATATTTGAAGATACGGTTGATTGAATTGTGGGTATTCACAGTATAGATTCATTGTTTCTAGGTTTTGCATTATTTTTCAAGTTCATCATGTCATAGGAAATCATGGAGCAGGAAACTGACTGTGTAACACATGCCAGAACCATTTTCTTGATTCATTAAAATGTAAAATATATTATGAAGTTTATAGAGCTAGAATAATTTACAAAGCATAATAATGACTATTTAATTGTGATGTAGTTTCTGAACTTGAAAGTTAATCATACCTTCAAGCTTATTTTATACTTGTATTGAGGTTTACTAGCACAATAATGGAAGCAATTATCTCTCAAGAACTATGAGCATGCAAATTGCTTTAACAATATAATCTGCAAAAGATTGTTTTCATTACATCTGTTATCCATCACAAAACAGTACATTTGACCTTCTGTATCCACATGTTCTGAATTTACAGATTTATCCATCTTCAGTTTAAAAAAACAAACTTTGATTTTGCCATGTTAAATAAGGAACATACTTTTCCTATGCTGTAGTATATAATAGAATATGAGTATTGGTGGATTTAAGTATCCCTGAAGCATTCTGGAACTAAACCCCAACAGATACCAAGGGTCAACTGTATTTCTGAATTTACAGAATAAATCCTATAAAAGTTACAGGGAATTTCCAGCAAATCTGTATCACAGTGATTTTAGTGAAATTTCATTCAGTTGAAATCACTTAGTATTGAAAACTGAACAGAACTGTCCAATGTACCTATCTGACAGATCCTTTGGCTTGAAAACCTCCTATGCATAAATATCAACTGCTTGTTACTCACAGCCATATGGATCTGTACATATAGTGAGGAGCAAAGATCAGTGCCTAATAGAAGCCATGAGCAAGCCAAGGGCAGATCTGCACTGATCCATATCCCAGAGGCAATCCGGTATGCTAGGTGCTGGATCGGTCCTGGGTAGGGTCTGGATTCCCCAGCTGCTGCAGAGGCAGAGGGATACCCTGTCTGCTCAGCAGTGTGAATGTGGTTTGGTGACACAGTGTGGCCACCTTAACTGTCCCACCCTTCATGTCGCGATGATCTCCAACTGCAATGTGGGTCCTCTTCCCTTCTGTTCCCAATACACTCTGTTGTTCCGGCCAACATCATGGCGTAGAGAATGGAAGGAAGGGGACTGTCATCTGATGTCCCCAGGTGGCCGCCTGAGCCAGGGAAACACAGTATAGGAGAGGGGACAATGGTGGCCACTTCCATTTCAGAACTTCCCTAACTGTTCACATAGGCCCTACTAACTTTGGCTACCACGGGCCAAGGCCATGTTAAAGTCAGCCCTGTGTAGTGTTTGGTCAACATGTGGCTAATTCTCCTCTACTTCTACCTAAGTGTTCAGTGTAGATGGGGCCCAATATTATTTCAGGCCCTAGGAACAAAACTGGGTAGGCAACTGTAGGCAAATGGGGGGGCATACACCACCCCCCCCCGAGATGATTGCATCCCCTGTTGCTCTCATGCCCCCCCCCAAAAAAAAACAATTAAAAATACTTCCTTGAGGAAAATTGGATATTTTCAACATTTTGGGACCTTCCTGGTCTATTTTAAGCCCAGGAGAGGCCATTTTTGAAACCAGAGGAAATCCAAGCTCTTGTGGAAATGACCCTATATCCGCTACAGGGCATTTGGGGGAATTTCTCTTTTTTAAAGCCATTATTGTTGTTTTTGCTGTTTTCACCCTTCTTTTTCTCATGACTGAGACTCAGATCAGTTCACAACTTTAAAAACTATACAATTAAAACCATCCAGAAGTTAAACATTAAATAGAATTGAACAATATTAAAATAGAATTTGAATAGGTGTTTGATCCAAGGATACACTAAACATACTGAACGTGCCCTCCACACCCTCCAAAGTGCTTTTAGGGGATTTAGGGCCAAAATAAAGGTTTGCAGAAAGAATGTGACCCACCAAGGGTTACCAAAAATGTCCTGAAAAGGGTGGGAGGCATTTCCAGCTTCCAGCCACATTTTGCTCATCCCATGAATTAGAACAATTTTTGACTGCTGCTCCAACTTTATAACTGTTTATTTTATTTTTACTCATTTTTTACTCCCTATTTAGGTCATTGTGGGAAGACTTTTGCCATTTTGGAAAGATTTTTAAATCGTCCTGTTGCAACACCTTGGTTAGTCATTGTGGATGATGATACATTAATAAGGTATGGAATTCAGAAGCAAGGGAATCTAAATCATACACTGTCTTACATGTCAGACTTTTGGAAGCCATTATTGCAGAATCATGATGCGGTAGTATATATCCCAAGTGAAGTGTGAAATATTAACATTCATGATAGAATGCAATGTGTCCTGTCAAATAGGAAATGCAGAAATTTACAGCAAATTAAAAACATCTATCAAATGTTTAAATTAAAAATACAATTAGATACGTCAAGTAGTTACTGTGGCAGGAAATTGGATCTGTGTTTAAGGTGACAAATTGACAACACTGTTCCAGCCCTATCCTGAGAGAAAACAGAAGCAACATAGGAAGAGACAGTATCTCTTTTCTGATGTATTTCTTTATACAAACTTTTTGCCAAGGGAAATTTTCTTTAGAACTGTTTCAGTGGTCCAAAAATATTTTCACGTACAGAAATAAACCTATTCAAAGGATGAATACATTATAAAGTTCTGCAAGTAGAAGCTGGTCAATCAATAGATTAACTCTCTCTTCTCTTCAAACCTCAAACCCTTTTCTGTGATCAGAGCACTTGTCTGAGCAGTGCAGCGGTCTGATTCCACATCCATAATTTTAGATCCAATCAATTGCTGTTTTATTGTAAAACTGATTTTTTTTCTCAATTATTGTAAAGCTAATTTTCCTTTCAATTACTCCAGTGGGGGATTTTTTTTAAAGAAAATCATTTTTTAAAAGCGATTTTCTTTCAACGATCTCATGTAATCAAGTTCGGTTACAGCAAGATAAAGAAAACAATGTTATCTGAAGTATGGATCAGACTTTAAAAGTAAGAGATGCAAATTAAAATCACAAAATAGTTCAGGAACATAAAACGTACAGTGTACATTTTAGCTTGCATTTCCAGTTAATACAATCTTGATTAACTGATTGATTGGCTGACTGATGTTTAGGACACCTATAAAACAAATTCATTAGGTGTCATACAATCCTAATATAAACTTTAGTTTCTTGTGTTTATAAAGACATTGTAACACTAGCGAGGGTAGTACAACTAAAAATGAGAAGCTAATTGGGAAACAAAAAAGAAGATACACGTACCATCAAATAATGAGGAATAAAGTAATATATTCAAAGGACTTGGGAAATAAAAATGTCATTGCCTTTCAACAGAAGAAGAACAACGATCATGACGGGCAGTTTCCCTAAGGAGAGTAATTCATAACCGTAGAATCTCTATCAAAAAAGACATATCTATAGTAGTTACCTCAAAAACAAGGAGAATCTCACTTATCTGAATAGTGCCTCAGTGCCTCTAGTTCTCTTCTGTGTGTGTGTGTCAGAAGTGACTTGAGAAGCTGCAAGTCACTTCTGGTCTTATAGAATTGGTCGGCTGCAAGGACGTTGCCCAGGGGACACCCAGGTGTTTTACCATCCTGTGGGAGGCTTCTCTCATGTCCCTGCATGGGAAGCTGGAGCTGACAGATGCGAGCTCACCCCGCTCCCCAGATTTGAACTGATGACCTTTCGGCCAGCGGTCCTGCCCATTGCGCCACCAGGGGTTCTGATTTTGACCTATTATCTCAGCAAAAAAATAAAAAAGCTAAATTCCTATTTAATATTTGCTAAATTAGAAAATTGAAGATTCATTGTGGTAGGCAGTAATTTTATCATTCACAAAGGGGAAAAAAACACTTTCAAAGGACAAATTGTAGGTCAAAATGCTACCTAATAGGCCAGCTTCTACAAAATTCTGCAACAGCTATTAGATTAATTTATTTCCACTGTAAGGAACTATTTTTCTTTAATCAACATCAAGATTTCATAATATTTCTTTCCTCTAGTACATCTCAAAAATCCATACTCACATCTTTGAAAATACAGAAAAAAGATCACCTAATCTCTAGCTGTTTGAGTAGCTCATTTTTTTCTTTTAATAGTTCCATCTCTTTGTACCTTAAAGCTATTATGAAACAATACTTTTTGCCATCTGAGATGGAATAAGAAAGTAGAACACCTTTTCTCTATTGCAAACAGTGACACCCAATTTGGACATTTCCCACTTTCACGTTTCACATTTGTTGAACTAGCGACAAGAATTTCTGATCTTTGCAGAACAATTTTCTGGCATAAAAGATTTGCTTTATTATATGTGGATCCTGGAGGTCACGGTGCTATTCTACTCACTGATGCAACTGGATACATTACCTGATAACAAGGCAAGATCATATCAGAAGCACTGTATTAGAATATAATTTCTTCAGTGCTTAGGACTTACAGCTGACTGTTGGCTATGGTAGCTCATGCCCTATTTTCCATAATTGGAAACCACTATAAGCCATGGTCAGCATGAGTATAAGACAAGTTTTAGAGATTTCAGTTGCAGATGAGGAAAAAAAGAATCAGAGGAATGTTGACAGAGATTCTGAAATAAACTTCAAAAATAGGCTTTTCTGTCCTGCGGCAAGAGATGAATTGTGAAACACCCCATCCTTCAGCAAAACAGGAGTAGTTACTTTGAACCTTTTCCCTTCCTTTATATTACTTGGATAGGAGACCACCAAGGAATATCAGGTGCTTTTGGCTATATTTCAGAGGAGGGCAATAGCAAAACACCTCTGACTAATCTGTACCTAAGAAAACCCTGTGAAATTCACGAGGTTATCAAAAATTGACAGGCAACATGACACATCTGTGTTGAGCCTCTGTTATGTGTTATTTTAAATCTTCGAGCTTTTTGAAAGGAGTTGATCTTCAAAACATACCCTCATAGAAAGATATGAAAGAACCTTGGAATTCATGTAGTGATATACACTGCTTACTGTAGGGTCTGTTTAAATAGGCGAGCCAAGCATGTTGGGGGAGCAACTTAGCTTTGATCTGAAACCCTTTGCCCTTTCTTTTCTGCGTGTTTACTTGATCTAGGCTTGCCACCTACAGTTAAAGAAAGCAACTCTACTCATCTGTGTGACAGCCTTCTGATATTAGAAGTTATCTGTCCTGTCTTTCCTTAAATTTTTCTCTTCTGTGTTGAACATTTTTCGCTCTTTCAACCATACTTCATAGGACTTGGTTTCCAAATCACAACGAGCAAGCAATGTATAAATAAATAAATGATTGAATCCAGACATCATTAATAATTTGGCATGACACTAGATGTGCTTTGACCACTTGGAGTGCCTCTGTGTGGCTGAGAGAAGGTCCTCCTCCATGGGGCATGTGGCAGGGTTCAGGCTGACCTCACTACCTCTGAGGATGCTTGCCATAGATGCAGGCGAAACGTCAGGAGAAATGCCTCTAGAACATGGCCCTATAGCCCGAAAAAACCCACAAGAACTTAGTAATTCCAGCCATGAAAGCCTTCGACAGTACAATGTATAAATATGTGAAAGGAAGTCACAGGGAGGAGGAAGCAAACTTGTTTTCTGCTTCCCTGGAGACTAGGACACGGAACAATGGCTTCAAACTACGAGAAAGGAGATTCCATCTGAACATTAGGAAGGACTTCCTGACTGAGAGCTGTTCAGCAGTGGAACTCTCTGCCCCGGAGTGTGGTGGAGGCTACTTCTTTGGAGGCTTTTAAACAGAGGCTGGATGGCCATCTGCCAGGGGTGCTTTGAATGCAATATTCCTGCTTCTTGGCAGGGGGTTGGACTGGATGGCCCATGAGGTCTCTTCCAACTCTATCATTCTGTGATTCTAAGCACATCCAGGTAGCCCATCTGTAAGGTTGCCGGCTGGTCTCTGCAAAGTGGGGTGTTCAAAAGAGCCTATCAGACCTAGAAGCACTCCTCTGGCGATTTCTTCCTCAGAGCCAGACATTGTGAGCAGAGGGACTGTGATGATCAAAAAATCTACAAACTATCTGCAGGCCCACTGAGAAAATCCAACAAATGCTAGGCAAGTGAGGTTATATATCTGTGGTTCTTACCATACACTGACTGCGTAGGGAAGCTGATGAAGAAACACAACATACAAACTACCTACAGACCAACTAAGAAAATCCAACAAATGCTACGTTCAGTAAAGGACAAGAGGGAGCCCCTCACTTCTGCAGGCGTCTACCGTATACCAAACGCAGCATTGCCCAAACATGAACCAAAGAACATGAGAGGCACTGCAGACTAACTCAACCAGAGAAGTCAGCCATTGTAGAGCATCTGATGAACCAACCTGGACACAGCATATTATTTGAGAACACAGAAACATTGGACTATTCTAACAACCACCATGTCAGACTACACAGAGAAGCCATTGAAATCCACAAAAATATGGACAATTTCAACAGAAAGGAGGAAGCCATGAGAATTGCCAAAATAACAAATATTTAAAAAACTCTAAAATCTGGACAGTAAATAAAGAGCTAAACTCAAAAAACGGAGAGATTCCAGACAGGAAACAATCAGGGTCAGCTAACACCTCCCAACAAAGGATTCCCCAAGGCAGGAAACAGCCAGGCTTTGAAGCTGCAAGGCCATTCAATGGTAATCAAATTGGCCAAGTACAACAGTCACACCTGCCTCAAACAGGCAAGAGTTCTTTCTCCCACCCTGGACATTATTCCACAGATATATAAACCTCACTTGCCTAGCTTCCAGCAGACCTCATAATCTCTGAAGATACTTACCATAGATGTAGACAAAATGTCAGGAGAGAATGCTTCTGGAAGATGGCCATACAGCCCGGAATACTCACAGCAACCCTGTGATGATTGTGTTTTGCAGAAGTGGGTTTTCATTACCACATAGCTCACAGTGCCTTGCTTTAAGGGAAATTGCTTCAAATGAAATAGAGAAGATGGAGATGTGGGGTTGGGAAAGCTAAAACTATGGACGAAGGGGAAGGTAACTGTGGAGGAGCAGAAGGCACATGGTAGAATGAGAGAGTGAACAGGAGAAGGCATTTTCAAGGTGCATATATGTATGACTGCTTTAATTGGCAAGCACACCTTCTAATGCCCTTGATATTTTCCTGTTGTTGTTGTTGTTGTTGTTGTTGTTGTAGTAGGTTTTTAGGGTTGTATGGCCATGTTCTAGAAGCATTCTCTCCTGACATTTCTCCTGCATTTATGGCAGGTATCCTCAGAGGTTGTGAGGTCATACAGCCTCAAAAACCTATAACAACCCAGTGATTATGGCCATGAATATATTTTCCTGTTGCTTGTAAATATGTTTTTAAAGGTCATTATTGAATATAAGTATAACCAAATCATTCTCTAAATGCCCTGAAAAACAAGCAATTTTTTCATTGTCAGCTGTACTAGCAAGAGATGAGTTTTCCAACATTACTGTGCAGCAAACATCAAGTGGAAGTAGCCAATAGGTCTGGTGGTGCAATGGGTTAAATCTTTGTGCCGACAGGACTGCTGGCCAAAAGGTTGGCAGTTTGAATCTGGGGAGTGGAGTGAGCTCCTGTCTGTCATCTCCAGCTTCTCATACAGGGACATGAGAGAATTCTCCCACAGAATGGTAAAATATCTGGGCATTCCCTGGGCAACATCCTTGCAGATGGCCAATTTTCTCACACCAAAAGCAACTTGCAATTTCTTAGGTCGCTCTTGACACAAAGCCAACAGAACAAAGCATGTGCAATAAAAGAACATTTTATAGTGGAAACGTGGTTATTTTTAATTTGCTTCCATTTAGATATCACACAGTTGAATTATGGCATGTGCTGAGACTACCTGTGAATAAAAAGAAAGAGGCAAAGACAATTACTAAAAAGGATCGTAAAGCCTTCCACCATCCACCTGAAGTGTTTAGGATTTCTTGATTTATCTGAACTCTATTTATAAACAGACGTCACCATTTCTGAATCTTACAATATTAAAGCCTTGCAGACTTTCTATTGCAACATAATTATTAAGTGACTTTAAGAAAATCAAATCAATATATATGCTTGAATAATCTATTTTAATATCATAATTCAAACATACGGACTTCAGAATGATGTGTTATTTCACTCTCTTGGGAAACCAACAAGATAGCACAAGCTGTGTAAATTTCTCACAAGGGAAGTCAGGCTGGCTCCTTTCCTTTTGAGAATCTGGTAGACAGCTAAAACTGTGATATTTCATATGGCCTTTCAGCTTTCAAACTAAGGATGGCTGCTCAGGTTATTTTAACTGGCTGCAGCATTTACATTTTTTTAAGAAGTTATTTTAATCTAGCGTTAACCATTTATATATATGTATTTAATGTCCTAAATATCTGTTTGTTGTACATTGTCCCCAGGGGTTTGGTGAGCTAACAAGTGATATATGAATGATTTATATACATAAAACAATGAGGATGTTCTAGATCAGGGTCCTCAAACTTTTTAAACAGGGGGCCAGGTCACAGCCCCTCAAACTGTTGGAAGGCTGGATTATAATTTGAAAAAAAATGAATTAATTTCTATACACACTGCACATATCTTATTTGTGGTGCAAAACCACTTAAAAACAATACAATAATTAAAATGAACAATTTTAGCAAATTTCAATGGGAAGTGTGGGCCTGCTTTTGGCTGATGAGATAGGATTGTTGTTGTTGTTGTTGTTGTTGTTGTGGTTGTGTGCTTTCAAGTCATTTCAGACTTAGGTTGACCCTGAGCGAGGGCCGGGTAAAAGACCTTGGAGGGCCGCATCCGGCCCCCGGGCCTTAGTTTGAGGACCCCTGTTCTAGATGGAGATTTTGAACATTGTTATTGACTAGTACAGCCTTATGTTGCTGAGGAGGAGGCAACACTCTGATTTGGAAGTACAACAAAGGGTTGAATGGTACAAACTAGTTACAAATTCTGGAATACTCATTTTGAGTGGTGAAATGCGGGAATCTCCTTAGTTCCGCATGATGCAGTTTTAATATAGAACCATGTATATTAACTCAATGAAGCCTATGACCCCATCTCAAAGATTAAGGTCCGGGGAGACCCTGTTCTCGATTCCACATCCTTTGCAGGTGCGACTGGTGGAAATGAGAGACAGGGCCTTCTCAGTGGTGGCCCCTCAGCTGTGGAACTCCCTCCCCAGTGATGTTACCTAGATCATCCCCCTCCCTCCTGACCTTCAGAAAGAGATTGAAAACGTAGTTCTGGAATCAAGCCTTTGGAGAAGAATCATAGTACAATAGATGGACTATAATTATGTGCAGTGACTACCGGAAAGACCTGAATTATGATTGCAGATAGTGTGGTTTTATAGTGATTGTAATGTTTTAAAAATGTGTTTCAATTTTGATCTTAATTTCATTTGAATGTTTATTTTAATTGTATATTGTTGTTAAGGCATTGAATTATTGCCTATCTGTAAGCCACCTTGAGTCCCTGTCAGGGTCGAAGAAGGCAGGATATAAATATAGTAAATAAATAAATAACATAAGTGATCTTTTTTTTAATGCAGATCTGTTCAGGATCAGACTCTGTTAACAGTTCTATTTGCCATCTTTAGGAAATAGTCTGGGGAAAATAGTCAGTTTGAACTATTAATCTACATGTGTATAGTTTAGACTGAAAGATAAAGGAATTCAATGTATCCTTATATGTTCGAACATTTTGTTTTCTATTTCAGCATATCTAGGCTCCAGAAATTGCTCAGCTGCTATGATCCAAGTGAGCCAGTGATTCTTGGAGAACGTTACGGCTATGGCTTAGGATCAGGAGGTTACAGTTACATCACTGGTGGTGGAGGGTAAGCCGTATCATTTGAATCTTCAGAGGAGTAACAGATTTGAAATCAAACTTTTGAGATTACATTCAAACAAACCTATTTACTAAATACACTCATTTATAAGTCTAGAAATTTTAGTAAACAAAATTAACCCCCCAAAACCTGGGTCTGTTTATCCACAGGTCAATGTAGATAATGTACCTTAACTTTTGGGTTTTTTGGGTTTTTTTAAAAATCCCCTTCTCTGAGTAGAGTGGCAAAAGAGAAGAGCACACTCTGTCCTGAAAGAAGACAGAAGAAGCCCTGACTCCCTCTACTTTTTTCTACCTCAGTGCCACTTCTGGACTTTTTTGAATGCCTCAACAGAAATCGCTCCAGCAGTCAAGCGTGATTGGCCCCCTGAGGCAGCACTGACCCCTTTCTCCTCTTCCATGGGTCACATCAACATCCATAACTTTGTCCCCCAAAGTTATGGATGTTGTACATGCACTTATACATGGGGTCCATTTGTAAATGAAGATGTATATCAGTGGTTCCCAACCTTTTTGTGACCAGGGACCACTTGACCAGGGACCACTTTCATCAGGGATTAAGAATCGGTTTTAGATTTGGTTTGAATATTTGGGGTGCTGATTCAGAAAATTGCATTGGATAGGTCACATCAGCTCTAGTTTCTGATGCAGAACATATGCCATCCAGTAGTCACCATCTGCTCGCCCACAAAAAAACATGTTTAATAAGCCTCGGCAATATAAAGGTTTTGCGAGACCAGGCACTCTCGTTGCAACGGTGTAGTAACAATGAGGTTGCAGACCATATTTTAGTTCTTGTGGACCATTGTTGGTCAACGGACCACAGGTTAGGAACCACTTATGTATATGGTAGTTGTTTGACTGTGGGCCATTTTTTTTTTCAAATACTGTACATGGCTGGAATGTGGACAAATAGGAGAGGGTCCCTTACAGAATTAAAGTGTAAACTAGTCATGCTGCGATATGATAATATGTAAGAACCATGACAGGAAAAATGCTGACTTGTTTTGAAGAATGTTTTCAGTACAAGACCAAAGGGCATCAGAAAATACTTAAAGTGCAGTGAATATACTGCATGATGCAAGAGTGTCGAGTATGTCTCCTATGCAAGAGCCTGGCTAAGTTTTCCGTTACTAGTGCCTCTTGTGGAATCTCTTACCTAAAATACAAAATGATGGTAGTCACGACAATTCACTTGAGATACACATTTGTTGGAAGCCAGATGGTAACATGACACCCCCCCCCCATACACACACACACATCTTGTGCCACAACAATGTTGTCTCCCTCAAAATGTGCCCCTAAATATTTTCAGGGGCAGTGTATCTCCACCTTTGGTCCTCCAAATGTTTGGGTCTTCAACTCTCAGAAGCCTCAGCCACTATAGCTATCAAAAAGTGATTTGGGCAATTAAGTCCAAAACATCTAGCAGAGGTTGAGAACCGTCGTTCTAGGGGTGGAATGGGCAGTTCACCATGGGGGGTGCGGCTGGACCATTTTAGCTCCAAGAGAGACCTCTTTTTTCCAAATAACTTGAATGGCACTTCCCGTATCACGGAAAGGACTCCGTAGGGAGTCCGTAGGGAGGGGGAAAGGATGAGACAGTGTTTATTTTGAAAGTGTGGTTGTCTTTTGGTTATCATTGTCTTGTTGACTTTTTCACCTAAGGATGGTCTTCAGCAGAGAAGCAATTCGGAGATTATTTGCTAGTAAATGCCGGTGTTACAGCAATGATGCCCCTGATGATATGGTCATTGGAATGTGCTTCAGTGGTTTAGGAATTCCTGTAACACACAGCCCTCTTTTCCATCAGGTAAGCATTGGGATGTTTACCCCATATTTCTCCATAATATCAAGGATGTTTCTGTGCAAAGCATTTTCCTGGCTTTAGAGCACAGATCGAAAACACTGTTGCTTCTGCATAATGTTTCCTTTAGTCAGTGGCAAGAATTGGGACACAGGAGTCATTGCAATCTTTATATTCCTGCTTTTTTGTTTGGCAGGCAGGTAAATTATTAAAACATAGAAAAAGTAAAGGCTACTTTAAAATTGTAAAATATTTTAGACCAGTGGTTCCCAGCCTTTGATCTTCCAGGTGTTTTGCACTTCAGCTCCCATATTTTCCAATAGCTGGTAAACTGGCTGGGATTTCTGGGAGTTAAAGTCCAAAACACCTAGAGCAGTGGTCCTCAATCTGTGAGTCTCCACGTATTTTGACCTACAACTCCCAGAAATCCCAACCAGTTTACCAGCTGCTAGGATTTCTGGGAGTTGAAAGCCAAAACATTGGGGGACCCACAGGTTGAGAACCTCTGACCTAGAGGATCAAAGATTGGGAACCACTAAGACTAAGTGGGATGGGTGAGTAGAAGTGAGAAAAACAGACCACTAATATTACCCCTTTTGTACTATATGGTACATTATATCATCTTATTTGGTTTTGACATCATTTCAAGAGAAGTTTGGTATCATGATATCTGTGCAAGAGAATTATTCTCTTTTTAAAATTTCTAATTTGACACCTATCAATTTCAGTCAAATCCGATCCTTTTTTCTCATAACTATTCTCTTGTTAGAATGCTGCAGTCACAATATTTTATATAGTTTAAGAGATGTTTATGTCTTATAATCTAAAATAATGAGATCATTTTTCTGCTGTGAATTTTATTGACACGATTAAACATTTTATTTCGTTCACTTTTTGATACACCTGTAGTTTTCTCCAAAAATACAATATATTGGTTTTTTATACAAGGAGACCCCATGATGCAGCAGGTTAAACTGCTGAGCTGCTGAACTTGCTGACCGAAATGTTGGCAGGGAGTGGGATGAGCTCCCACTGTTAGCCCCAGCTTCTGCCAACCTAGCAGTTCAAAAACATGCAAATATGAGTAGATCAATAGGTACCACTGGCAGGAAGGTAACGGTGCTTCATAAAGTAATGCCAGCCACATGACCTTGGTGGCATCTCCAGACAACACTGCCTCTTAGAAATGGAGATGAGCACCACCCCCAGAGTCGGACACGACTAGACTTAATGTCAAGGGGAAACCTTTACCTTTTATCCAATTTAAATTTCTTAAATGATAATCCTTGGGTATTTTAATACAATGTGTGATTTCCTGGTAGAGCATATTTGTTTAGAACCTATTTACAATCATAATATGAAAACTAGAAAAGGGTGTTTTACTAATTGTATAAGAAAAAGGCTCTTAAAAACTATGCTATAGTGACCATAAACTATGTACATCTTTCAATAGATTTTTTTAAATAAGGAAGTTCCGATGTTACTGGATTTCTACCAGCAGTTATTTCATGTCTGCTGCAATTTTTCAATCTTCAAGCAAAGCTTGCACTTTTATTGAAATTCATATTCTTCTTTTCCTTAAAAAATAACAACATCTCAGAACAAAAGTAAAACTGTAGATAAACTGTCTTGAACACAATTCAGCCACTGCCCTAGAAAGCAAACGTCATTTCGTTCTCTTTGAGAAGCACCAAGGAAGATGCCATTAGTGTGTCTATGAAGTTTGGACTATCCATTTCCTTCTGCAAGAGAAGTATCCAGGAATCCATATACCTACTCAAATCTTAGATAAAGTAATATAATCCCACAGAAACATTTCAGAGACATTACACCCAAATCAAACATCTAGTATCGCTAGTCTTTTATTTTGAGGTATACATTGCAAACAGTCAAAACTGTAAGTAGGCCAAATCTGATATTATATTGGCATGATTACTCCAACTAGAGCAATGATTCCCAACCTTTTTTCACCAAGTCCTACTTGATCAGGGACCACTTTGACCGGGGAACACCCTCTAGCATTAGTACCAAAAGGGTTGCGAATCAGTTTTTGGTCAACTTTAGATTGGTTTGGGGTGCTGATTCAGAAAATTGCATTGGATAGACCACATCAGCTCTAGTTTTTGATACAGAACATATGCCATGGTCAGCAACAAGGAAGGAGTGGCAGGTGATGCAAAAGGAGCGGAAATAAATAAAATAAAGAAAGAAAGGAGGAGGCTCGCAGAACAGATTTTTGTCCCTGTGGCCCACTGGTGGTCCGTGGCCCGCAGGTTGAGAACCACTGAACAAGAGAATATGTGTCCCCCATGAACCCAAAAGCCATCACAATTTTGTGTTCCTCAGCCAACCCACCACACCCGACTTTGGAACTCTTTACCTGGAGAAATCAGGAAAGCCCCTTCATTAGAAATGTTTAAAAAGAACCTTAAAACCAGGCTCTTCCGCTGCGCCTTTGGTGGGTAGGTGCATACCACGACATTTTGCACCCCTCAACGTTTTCGCTACTGGAGCTCGTGCCCCCAAATGGGAAGTTTAGCCTCACAACTCTTATGTATTTTATGAGTTCCCGTAAATGTTCTGCTCCTATTTTATATCATTTCAGTCTTTGAATTGTTTTTATCCTGTATATGCGGCCCGCCCATTGTTATCGTCACCGTGATTGTGTTTATTAGAATGTTCTTTTATGACTGCTTTTTAAAAATGTATTTTTGATGATATTGTTGTTATTTGTTGTTTATGTTTTGATTTTATTGCTGTAATGTGTTGTCTGGGCTTGGCCCCATGTAAGCCGCTCCGAGTCCCCATTGGGGAGATGGTGGCGGGGTATAAATAAAGATTATTATTATTATTATTATTATTATTATTATTATTATTATTATATGGGTTTTAGGAAACATAGATATCCACAGAAGTGTTCAGAAGGTATAGCACACGTCTTTCACTTCACCTGCTACCTAATATTTTTTTAAAATCTTAGAAATATAGCAGGCTGAATTTGGAACTTTCTGCATGCAGAATAGGTATATTTAAAACTAATCCTCAAATCAGCACATCCCAGACTTGGTATCACAACCAGAAACTATCCACAACCTTTATCCTGCTGTCTGTGTTGTGATAGGAGTTGTACTGCAACACATCCAGAAGGCATCAGGTTATAGAAGTCTTTTCTGGGTCATAAACTTTACATGGATACTGGGAACGTTAACAAGCAGTTTCAAATTGGACAGAAAAAGACCCAAAGAAATGCAAGTACTAGGTCTAATTAAACACTGCTTTTGCTGTTGATACTAGACATGACAAAAAACTTATGAGAAGGTCAGATTTAGGCTAGAATTCTCATTACAAAGAGACCCTGCGTTCTGATTTCACACTCAAGGACAGAACGTGGATGACATTTGCTCAGCTGACAATGAAGCGGAAAACAGACATCTCCTAATTATGTCTCTCTAATACAGTAACTGAGATACTAGGAGCTTGTGAAATCATAGCTCATTCATTTTTTGTCTTATACCAGTTTCTCTTTTTTTTCTGGTGTTCAATTAAATATTGAAATTTCAAATGCATTTGTCCAAGAGATGAGACAAAAGAGATGAGAGAAAAGCATCTCTTTGCAATAAGTTGCTCTTTCAGATAGCTGCCTGATTACAATACTGAAATGTTGCTGAGGAATAATTAATTCTTTTGTTCTTTAAAATCCCTCTTAATTATTTCACTGCAACCTACTTCCAGAGACAATTGTAAATATTTAATGGCAGCCACTGAATGTTTGCTTCTGTTTAAATACTTCACTAATGTTTATTGTAGAGTTCTGAGACAATGAAAAGTAAATCCTGTTGTGACTCAGAGAACTCATTCATATACAAAATGTGTATAATTTTCTCATTGTTTCGGCTTCCTCCTCCAATAGGCTTTGTACATCCACAAGCTACACGTTTACTGTGTATCTTTCGTGGTAATAATGTCTCTAATTGGATCTTCCAGCGTCATAATTGTGGAAGCCAGAGCCTAGTATTGGAACAACAATGGCAATTGGTGTTATTTCACATTATTCAAGCCAGAAAATAAGATAAAATCATTCCTCTGCAATTTCAGAGCAAATTTGAATAGACTGGAATTGGGAAAATGCTAATTTTCTAACTAGTTATTTGAATGACTAAGATACTGTCCTCTGGCAGAGATTCCAATTCTGTTTATAAAAGCAAGATAAATTGCATAAATAAAGAATAGTGAATACCAATTCAAGAAACGAAAGTACAATTCTAAATGCTTGGGAAAAGAAAAATATATTTGCTTTCCACTTAGCAGTAGCAATAAGCTACTTTCAGGTTACGAGCTACTTTACAGTATGGTGCAAACATCTTTAACCCCTTTTAATTTTCCGCATTTTGTTGCAACTTGGAATTTCTGAGTGGCTTAGTTAGCACTTGAGATACTCAACATTATAAAGATGCAATGTATTTTAACTGTGTTACAAAAGTTGCCAAGTTGCAAGGAGGAGGAGGCCAGCAAAGCCAGTGCGTTGGTGAAAAGGGAGAGTCTGGGGGTAGGGAGGAAGGAGGAGGGGAAGGTCAGCAGGAGAAGGCGACTGTGTGTGACTGTGGGCGGCCCTTTTCACTGCCACTTCCAACTGCCGGGACTGATTCCCTGAGGCCTAGCTGCCCTCCATAGAGGAAATTGAAGCTTGAGCAGAGGAAGCCCAAAGGTAGGCAGACAGGCGTGGATGTCTCCTCTACCCTTGTGAGGCCAGGCTGCTGCTCCTCTCTCTCTTGCTCCCACAGCACTCCAGGGATGGGCTCCTTCTCTGCTTCCCAAGCCGTCTCCTTGAGTTTGTCTACACGCCTGAAGTAGTTTCCCCCTTTGCTTTACTGTATGACATGAAACTAATGTGCACCCTGACTTTGGCGACATAATTTAGCCTTAAAAGGTGCATATTAGACTTGAGTGGCGCAATTGGTGAAAGCACTGAGCAGCAGTACGTGTGAAAAAGATCTTGGAGTCCTCGT